TCGGCCTTGTTTTTTTGTTTATGTCTTGGGCCGCTTTTCTGCCCCCTCCCACAGGGCTGCTGGGATTTTTCAGAAAAGCTTCCCAAGACATTTGTTTCTGCGTAGTTAGGAGAGACAAAGATGGTGACGCAGTCATTTTTGGGGCTGGACTTCTCTTCAACCAGTCCACAGCTTGTATCGAGCGACAGAAGAGGCTAAATGTCATGGCTCAGGATCAGAGAGAGAGAGAGACGGGAAAGGAGGAGAGAGAAACTGAGACCGAGAAAGAGAGAGAACTTGTTTACTTTGCTCTCTTGGTGGCGCTGCGTTGGCTTCTCTGCAGTTCGCATGCACTGGACTTCCTAAAGCTGCTGCATCACAGTCCATCGTGCCAGAGCTGGGAGGAGCTCCTCATGCTGCACAGCAGCGCTTTATTGGCTTATTGCAAGGCGGGCAGCTGGAGTTCAACATCTGATTGGTTAAGGAACACTGTTCTCTTCTACAAAGGCTTTGCAGTTGCAGAAACACTTTTCCATGGATACATGAGTATCATGTGTGTGTTTTATATGGGTTGAGCTGTTAATATATTAACAGTCAAATAAAAGGTTAACCAGTAAAAGTTAGTTTCCGCGGTAGGTTTAGAAAGCTAGTAAGAGATGAATCGGACATTAGTTATTACATTAGTTTTCATTAGAAGAGTCTAAATGAGTGATTTCATCAAAGTTAGTTCAGAGATACAGAAGTTTTGGGGAATTTTAATATTTTATAAGTGCCTTAAGATGAGAAGATTTTTTTATTTTTTTTTATGTGCATTTGGTGTAATCTAAAGTTCTGTCAATATTTGGCTCAATAACATAATCATGATCCCAGAGGCATCCAGAAAACCGCTGCTCTAGCCGATGCTGACCTTTCTGTCCAGGCCTGCCTCTCGTGATGCAGTGGGCCAACCTCATTGTGTCACAGGTACCGTCATTTCCCAATCATTTCCATCGTAGCTTCCTAAAAAGGGCAACAACAATGGAGCAGGTGTTGATTTCCAGATGAGTTTCCTTGAAAGAACTGCTAAAAGATGAATTACTGATGAAACTGGCAGTGATCCATTTAAATCAGATTAAATGTGTTTATGTGATGGCAGAATTTAAATTTTTTACTCCATATCCTTGCCTGTAGACCAATTTCAAATATTTGCATGTAACCTTCTGCGCACTGACTCAAGGCTGCACGAGCAGTTAATCAGAATTAATTAATTGGAAATGTAGCAATAGACACTGTCCCAATTCATACCAAATTATGAATTATTGTTCCTTCCTACAAATGTTCAGTGAGATATCGGCTCCTTTTTCTATGGAATTATGGGATGGTGTCTGTAAAATAATGAGTTACCCAGGCTGCCCTGTTCACTGGGAACTGTCAGTAAAAGAGAGCTGGTCTGCGTTGTGTGCATGCCTGACACTCTCTGATATCTGTGATGATGAGCAAGGATTTAAATCCGTAGACGAGAGGTCCTCTCGTTTTCCTCACTAGCAGTCCAACACCCGAAAGATGGCACACTTCTACGATGATGCAAGAGCGTGTGAGGCTGCCTGTGGTCTGCATTGCAGCTCCAGCCTCTCCAGTCAGCGTCTTTCTCTCCCTTTTCTCTCCCGCTCCCTCTCCTCTAAATGTGCTGATGGTATAACATACTGTACTATCACTGCCTTTTTTTTTTTTTTTTTTTTTTTTTAAAGATGGTCATAAAGGAGATGACGATTCTTAGCATCAGAGCTGGAGCTGGTTCTCTCTTCACCACTCTGGGGGGTGGGGGGGGGTTGGTTGGTTGGTAGGTTGGTTGGTTGGTTAGTTAGTTAACACTGCGGTTCGTTAGTCTACCGGGCTAAATATATGAGTCGCAGATGGAACTATTTGTGTATTTTAACGAGTATATTATTTTGTAGATGTGTTGAGAAGTGTAGCTGTACAAATTAAGTATTGTTCATGTTTCACTTCAGCTTACTCGCATCGCAATTTCCCGTAGGTTTTATATTGTTATTTCTCTGTAATTAAAGACCGGCTGTGGAGACGTTCACCCCTTTGGGTTTCCCCGGGGTGCTGCACAGTTCAATTCTCATTCTGTTGGTGGCCGCTCTCTGAAGGCTTCCTGTCCCTTTAAATCTGTTATAAGCATTACACAACAGGTCCAGTGGTGCACAAACAACCCTGAAAAAAGAAAAGTGACAGACAGTTGAGCCAGTCAGGCAAAGGAACCAGACACCTACGGACAGACCTCTGATCAGAGCCGTCACTGTGGCTACAGTGCAAACACACACACACACACACACACACACACACAGCCCTCGCAAAATAAAACGAAATGGCTTGGCCTGGTCCATCTGAACCCTGATAAGGACTTTTAAGGTCCGTGGGGATTTTCTCCTTCCTCTTATTGTGAAAATCAAAGTAAATAGTATGTTTTGGGCTGGGGCTAACCATTAGTATTTGTCATTGTAAACATGAAGAAATGAAGGCAGACACTGTGTGGGTGTGTGTTCTGGAGGGACACGCGGGGTTTGAAGCAAGACAATGAATTGTTAGCGGTCCTTTCTCCTGCATGCAAAGTGTAAAAACAGCAGGAGGGGAGGGGGAAAAAATAGGATGTTAGAAACGTTTGGGTAGATTTGTACTTTGTTGGAAGACTTGGCAACAAGTCGGTGAACTGGCCACTACCTGTCCTTGCCCCACCCTGTCGGTGCTTTTGTAGCTGCGCGCCTGCGTCATGGCTCTCATTTCCAGCGATTCACTGCCACTTCCTTGCTTTTTCCCGCTTTTGTAGTGGCCGGAGAGCAACACACTATCATCCTCACTGTTCTACCGAGCAGCAGAGAGAAGTGGACTAATCGATATCTGTATGCATAGAGCTGCAGGTGAGCTTGAAAGAAAGTTGCAGTGTTTTGTGTGTGTGTGTGTGTGTTCTTGTTTTGGCCATTCACACATCTGCGAAGCTCGGATCAAGTATCGGATCAGTCGCGTGGGTGTGTTGGAGACAAATGGGTTGTGTGAGAGAGAGAGGTGTGTTCTGGTGCCTTCTCGGTGGTTTTCTATTTCATCTCTCTCTCTCGCTTGCTCTCCCTTCATCTGCTTCCCTCCTCTCTGCTTTCTGTCCTGAATCAGAGCGGTGAATCAAGCTTCTTCCTGGGCGAGAGCGTCAACCGAAACCATCCCAGCGTGCATTACATTTGAAGTCTCTGACAGTCTCCCAGGATGCTGATGGGCTTCTGTCAAAATCAAGGTAGAGACAGACAACATTGAAACGCCTATCACTAATTCATCAGCGTAATGGAAACCAATGTTTAAAAAACAAATTGTTCAACTTGCAAACGGTAAGGCCTCCAGGTGAACCAAGACTTAACACGGCAGCGCATCTAACAGCTGGTGCCTCTTCAGGTTCCTCTTTCAGGTAATTCTACTTTGAAGTAGTTTCTGGTCTACCGCTGCCTTGATCGGTTAGTTTGCGCCATTGTGGGACTTTTGGTTAGTTTGGATTCAGCAAAGTCACACAAACCACAAACAAACTAACCTATTGACCCATGTACTGTAGGTTATACACTGACCATCCATAAGTACCTCATAACCCTCCTCGAAACACCCAACTATCCCTTAAAGTCAACTTTCCCAACTAAAAGAACAACAGTCTGTTGTGTTGTATTATGGGTGTTTGTTTAATGCATAATTCACATCTGCAAACAGAACCTGCGATGGGTATTTTCTACATTTCATACGATTATGTATAATCGACTGTTCCATAAAAGATGCTACTGAGTACCACTCCTGTGTGATAACATGTACTTACATGATGAGAAATAGAAGTCTAACTCTTAATAATTAACAGTAATTAATAAGTAGACTATGGAGATCCAAGTTTTTTTCAATTCCCGCTTCCATAACCCATTTTTTCCCTCTTGAAAATATAATGAATACATTCCAAACAAAACGGTTGTTTGTGTCGCAGACACCTAAGTCTAGGTTTTCTCTCGGGCTACTGCAGTAGCTGTTTCACATCTACAGTAGGCTCTATTGATTTACAGTACATGTAGATATCAAGCTCCGTGCGTGTGTCTGCTGCTGCATCTGAACCACTCCTTTCTTCTCTCAAACAAACATCTTCTTGTTTCAATCAGTCTTCTGGAGGATGACTTGCTTCTCGGGTCAAGCTAACAGCGAATCAAACTAATTGTTTCCCACAATTTCCTGCTCTTATTAATGTCAGTTTCCATTACTTTTTAGATTTGAGGGCGCTTTACGCCACAGAAGGATGCTTTTTGTCAGAAGTGCCCTCCTTGGAAGCTGGTTTCAGATGGTGGCTTAGAGTGTTGTCATCTATCTAGCACCATTTGAAATCAGTGTTCTTGGGGTGGGAAGTATTTCACTGGCCAGCAACAGGAAGTGTCGCATGAGGTGTCCGGAGCTAAAGGAATCACTTCTTGAAGCGCTACAAACCACCACTTGATGACCAGTGATGTTCTGACAGCTCAGGCTCTTAGTCCTTTCTCCAAGGTTGACCGATTACTTTTGGTGTTCAGAGTCTGCTTATGTTTCTAGCACCATTTGAAATCGGTTACAGTGAAGGACAGATCTCATCTTACCCTGTGGAGGATTTAGCAAGTAAGCTGTGCTCTTTATTTTACAGACTGTAGTACAAATTACTGTTTAATTACAAATTAAACACAATAACTCACCCTGGATCTTACATTGATATCTGGACTGATGTTTGCAGTGGAGGAGGAAGTATTCAGATCCTTTTACTTAAAGTTAAAGTCACAATACCAAACTGTAAATATACTCATCGTCAGTGTATAGGTCCTGCACTTTACTGAAGTGAAAGTACATAAGTATTTTTTGCTACATGTATGTAAAACATCAATCTGCAAAGTAACGAAACGGTCAAATAAATGTAGTCGTGTAAAAAGTACAATATTTCCATTGAAATGTAATTAAAAATAAGTGTTCCATGAAAACAGGTGAGTTCAAGTACCTTGCAAATGTACTTGGGTACTGAACTTAAGTTCATGTACTTGTTACATTCCACCTCTGGATGTCAACTTGATCAAGGGATCATTTGAAGAATTGTCTAGTGAAATCCACAAGGTGGCACTGTAGTATAAAATATTAGTGGAATTATGTCCCAGCCATCATCGGGTCAATCACAGGGAGACAAACAATCATTCACACAGCAACAGTGCTAACCACTGCATCGCTGCGCCGCCCGGTAAACCATGTTTGATTTTCCAGCATTTATAGACTTGAAAGTGAATTTTTCTATTGCTGATATTTAGCAGTTTACTGCCCTATATTATACAGTGGCTTATTCAACAATAACATTAACTTGATTTATATAGCATCTTTAAAAACAGTTTGTAAAGTGCTTTGACAAATAAAGCTGAATACATGGCGATATAATAGAGCCTTATCGCCACCTTTAGTTTGAGACCTCCACTTTGTTACAGCCAGAAGGTCCCCACCTGAAGATCTACGGCTATTCAAGGTTAGCCACACATCTGTAATATTTAGTCATAAGCAGAGCTTCTATACATTAAGAGTATACTGTGAACGCATCATTGTGTGGCTCATGGGATCAGGTTAACCACTGACTGCAGGGTTGGAGGTTCAATCCCTGGCTCCTGTCTTTGTCGAGGTGTGTTCCAGATAGATATGCAGTCCATATACACATTACATTATCGTTTCATTACATTTTAGTTGTTTGTATTGATTACAAAAGGTAGTGCCAATACAAAAATCTGCCTCAATATAATACAAAAGTCTTGTGATGTTCTGTTACAAATGTTAGTTTAGTAACTACAGACTTATGAGGCCAGTGTGCTATATTCAGTGATCAGTCTACGCCAAAACAATGCTAAACATGGATAATTATTCAGCATAAGCAATCTAAGGTAGACCCACAATGAAACCTTCATTAACAAACTTACAACAGTTATTTTCCATTCTTTTTTAGGTGTGAGGGCGCTTTACGCCACAGAAGGATGCTTTTTGTCAGAAGTGCCCTCCTTGGAAGCTGGTTTCAGATGGTGGCTTAGAGTGTTATCTATCTAGCACCATTTGAAATCGGTGTTCTTGGGGTGGGAAGTATTTCACTGGCCAGCAACAGGAAGTGTCGCATGAAGCACTACTCGGCTGGGCTACAAACCACCAGTGATGTTCTGACAGCTCAGGCTCTTAGTCCTTTCTCCAAAGTTGACCGATTACTTTTGGTGTTCAGAGTCTGCTTATGTTTCTAGCACCATTTGAAATCGGTTACAGTGAAGGACAGATCTCATCTTACCCTGTGGAGGATTTAGCAAGTAAGCTGTGCTCTTTATCAGTATGATTTTTTTTTTTTTTTCCATTGCTTACCTTACTTTGACTTTTCTTCATGCCTTTTTTTATTGCATATTTGATGACGCCTCCCCTCAAGTTCATTCAAGTCAAAATGCTTTAGTCGTCCTTCAAGGGGCAATTCAAGGCAAGGTCTTGTGCAAACAGAAATATATAGTGTTTTTAATGACATACTATAGGATGACTTTTACGACTTTTTGGTGACGACTATTGACTTAAAAAAAACCACTTTACATGACTGACTTTTTATACATACTATTCTATGCCTTTGTCTCGACATACTATACTTTTTTAGGGCTATTTGACACTCTTCTGACTTTCTAAACTGTTTCATTTTTCATGACACTTGATGTACTATGTTTTATGAAATACTACAACTTTTGACTGATCCAATTCTGTTTTATAAACCACTGTCTTTTTAAATGATATACCATATGTTGTGAACACTATTGTGTGGGTGGTTGTGGTTCTGGATGTCTCAGGTCTCACGTTTGAAATGGTTCCCAATGGTCAGCCACATCTAGCCTGTGGTGTATGAGTCAATGGGAGAATTGGAGGAGAAAAGTGTTAATAAAGGCAGTACACTTGCATTGTTTGTCTGTTTTATTTCATTATTTACAAAAGCTAGTACCAACATAAAAACCTGCCACCAAATAATCTTGCCGAGATGTTCTGAAAAACATTTTTTCAATAAATACAAATGATCCGTCACCACAGAAACCACGCCCGTGTCCCAAAACTTTTAAAGTATGCTTCTTCGTGTGTGTGGAGTCAGACAATATTAAACTGACACTCTAGAAGAGACGTCTACAAAGCCAGTACTTTGAGGGTGGGCGGAAGTTTTAACTAATAATTCTTTGCTTAAATACATTTGGTGAAGTTATAGTGCTACACAGAAAACTGTGCCAAACATGGCATTTAACATGGCTATTTAGCATAAACATTAAGCTAAGGTGGGCCCACAATTAAGCCCCCATTAAAAAACAAACAACTGACAAGCTAAAACACTTGGCTTTTTGCATTAAGGCATATGGAACGGGCTATATATTTAGGCAATACTTGATTCTTGGATTATCTCTAGGAAGGTGGAAGTTTAATCTACAAAGAGGAGGCCTCAGCAGGTCTCTTTTACACAAATGTCTTTTCTAATGAATTCATTATTTCCATTTCAGCTACACGAATGGTGTCATTTCTAATAAAAGTAAGTCCACCGTGTTCCTAAGTAAAACTCAGGTCTCAGCCATTTTGAGTGTTTCAGAGTTTAACACAAATCAATTTTAATCACAACAGCAGTATTCAAAAAAGGTCAAGCATGGAAACATTCTTTACCGATTTTGCTCGTTTGATGTCCCCGTCGAGCTAAATTGACCAAAGCTATGCCCGGAGCAGTGCAAACCAACACGGAGTTAGAGCCCCTCTAGCGAACATGAAATCTCCCTCCTTCATAATTATACCATTGAATCAGTGCTGCGATGTAAAGGAAAGGGAAGTCATCCCAAACATCACTGAATTAAATTAAGTGCAACAGAAAAAGTAGTTATGAATTATTGTCAACAAACTAGAAGAGTAGTGGCTCATAAGCATGAGTTACTGCAAGTATTCAGCGCCATTTGCTGAGCTTTCTGAATCTCAAGACTTTTCAGCGGCTTTCACGAGACTGTGTGCCGTCCACGTGCACATGGACGACGCAGGTACATTCAAAGACTCGTCTAGTGGCACCATCTCCTCAACCGGCCGCTCTTACAGCAAGCAGTGCGGCACCAACAGGACACCTACTACAGAGAACAAGAGAAGCAGAGGAAAGGAATCTAAATTAGACAAATTGTAAAAATAAAATAAACTACAGCCCTGTGAAAGAGGAACAAATTAACTGAAGAGTCAAGCAGGTCAGTTAGCAGCCCATGGAAGGAAAAAAATATTAGTAATACATGGATATACAGTATGAAATATTAAAGCTGCTGCCAACATTATCTGTTCCTTTGGCATAACTGGCCCGTCTTCTTACCGAGAGCGCTACCTCCTCTCCTTCTTTTGGAACGGCATTGTCAGGATAGCTTCTCCCAGAGCTGTAATCCAATAATGACTGATCAGCGTTACTGCTTATGAACAACCAGGCACACAAGAAACGAGAGTTTCAGGAAGCCCAGAGAAACACCTTCCCCCCCACAAGACTACAGACCGCCCATCTCCTAAGACAACCTCACAAACACACACACCACATCTCGTCTGCTGCTTTCCATCTGTGCCCTATAGCACGAAGCATCTAAACACTACCCATTCATTTCTAAGAGCTAAAAATCAACAAGTCACCACAACATCAAAGACACAACAGTTCAAATAATAAGATTACTGTATTAAAGAAAATAATAAATAGTAAAAATGTGAACACCTCTTCTGCAGAAAGTAAAACGACTAATACCAACAAATGCTCTGTTGTCATATTATATGGCCTCCATCTTTTCATTGAGGGGCCGAGTTGTGAAGCTTCAATGCAAGTTTCCAAACTGTATACGCAGTGATGCGACGGGGTTTATTACGTCTTTAGCTTTGAAGACACTCCTAAACAGCGATTAGGCGTTGCATACAAATAACTCCACCCCAACAGGAAACAAAAACAGTTTCCTCAGAAACCAGACGTACCAACAGTCACTACTTCCTATTTTGCAGAGATAAAATCGGCCAACGTTTAAAAACACAGAAAGGCAATTTCAAGCAGAAACTACAAATCATACTTCAACCGAACAGCGTTTCTGTTGATTCTACAATTAGACATAATGTGCCTTCTGCTTACTCAGCATCAAGCATGCAAATTACACTAGCATTGATGACAGAAGTGCCATGCGACCAGTAGCTTTCCTTAAGTTGTGATTCTTAACTGGACAGACCCTCGTTAAAAATGTATCATCTATGCTGCACTTTATTAAAACAACTATAAAAAGGCATTTGGGGCAGAGCTCTTTCTGAGTGACCAACAGCTCTGTGTAGGAGTGTTTTGAGGGCTTATTACAGCACTCCTTTATGACAACATTGACACTGTGTGGTAGAGAACATACCGTTGTTAAAAAGCCTATCAAATGCATCCAACTTCGACATGCAACGCTTGACAGACAGTGAGCTTTGACAGTAAGAAAAGCACTGGGACAGAAAAGGTTGGAAAAGCGTCGACAGAGATCTACCATCTTTGACAAATGGTCCGAGATGTTCTGCAGAGATGAATTAAACAACATTTTACCGTCGTTTGTTGATTGCCCGAAGTCTCCAGATAACCAATCCAACGATAACGAGGACAATAACAATGACTATTTTGAGGAGAAGAAAAAAAAAAAAAAAAAAAAAAAATGATGTTTGAAGATGGTGAGCCATGAGGCCGACAGATGAAGAACCATTTAAAATGCCAAACATGGAAAGGGTTAGATTGGTAATTTTTTTTAAAATTAAATTAATGCTTTTGCTCTTTGTTAGAATACAAATTTAAAAATGAAAACCTGATATGCACACTCCATAGAAACACGGACATCAAGTACCGAACACAAACTACAGTAAAATGACACATCCGGACATCACTACACGAGTATGCTCTAATGGCTGAATGCGTCACCTTGTTATCTCACGATGCCCGCTCTACTGTAATACAACCATGCTGCTCTGAGACCATCGTGATCTTATTTGGGTCAACATTACCTCTTTACAGTCTTGAGCTACTGTTAAATTAGCAAGTGGAAACTTACCAGCCAAAACAATAACCAACACTTTCACCAGGTTTCCATTGTTGTCTGTAAAAAAAAAAAAAAAAAAAAACAATGAATAAGGACATAATTGTGTCAAACAGTGGTTTGGGTTAAACTACAATGCTGATCTGTAACTGTTTAAAACACTAATTAATTGAATTAATAAGAGATTACTTTGAGGACTTACGAGGTTTTTCATCCAGGCCAGTAGTACCTGAAGTAGAGATGTACAAACAAATGATTAAAAAAAACATCCAGTCCATCTCCTGTATCTCACACAGACATATCAACGAGGGCTCAGCAAGGTCTCGAGGAAGGTGTTAAGGTGAAAGACATTATAGTGAAATAAATGGCGAGTGTGTTTTGACTGCTGCGACTTAAAAAGTGTGTGTGTGTGTGTGTGTGTGTGACTTGATGACTGCTCTACACATTCTGTCATTAACCACGTCATAAGCAAACAAACAAATAAATCTTACCTTTTCTAAACTGATATAATCCATTCATTTGCCAAATAAATCCATGAATTTGTCAAATACTGTACATAAAAAGTTAGCGTGCCATGAGTTGGCGAGCAAGCAAGTCAACGAATAAGGAAATGTACTTTTGAATACAACAGACTGATTTATGGATGGATGTCACAATACGTAAGCACACGTCATATCTAGAGTTACAGGAGGAAAAGATTGTTGCATTTTGACATAAAAATACAAAGACATGTTTTTATCGTTAAACAGGTACACACGGATGTGATCTGAAATGTTTAAAAGGCATTTTTCATTCAACCTTGACTTTAACACAAACACTGATAGTTTGATCCAAGATATAATACTGTAAAATAGTGTGACCCTTTTTGTTTTGTTTTTTTGGCACAAACAAATTGCAACACTTTATCAGGAGACACTGTTGGGCTTTAGATGGTTCTTAAGCATTAACGTGGACTTTACCTATTGTTGTCTGGGTGGTAGAAGGACATGTGGTGGTTGATAATCTGAATACTGTTTTTGCAGTATTCAGAACAGTGTTATCATCAATTTCGTCATATTTTTTAATTAAATTCCAATGTTTTCTTCTTGTAAAAAAATATATATGAACTGTAATTGCGTAAGCTAGTACCAACCAATTGGAACCAAATATATCATGAAACAGCAACACCACAGGCCAAGCTTCTGAACTAGTCTTAGCAAAGAGAGGATGTTGCAAGTAATGTCAGGGATTCATCCGGATGTTTTTAATTCAGCATTTTTCATGCAGTAATTTCATAACATAAATAAAAGGTGCATTTGAGCGAGAGCATAAACAATTGTGGAAACCATCTTTTTGGTGCCATGTTTTCTCTCTGCTCTATCTCTCCCCAGTTTCCATTCAGGTGCCACCCTTTTCACTGGCTTTTTTTTTTGTTTATTCATCCATTGCCCATGACTCTCCCCCTCGAGTTGTTTACACCGTTACTCCCCTCATCCCCCTAGACCGTAATCGGGGAACGTAAACGGAATCAAAAAGGAAAAAGACAGCAAAGTATATAGAACCTTATGTGATAAAGCTGATCGCATAACAGAATGCAACGGCATCTGGATTAGTATAAAATCATCAACGGTGAAATGTAACAGGTTGACTTTTCTTGACAAACCTCATAGATACACGCATTCATTTTTTAAACCTTTTTAGATCACATCCCGATCATATTGTGCACTAATATTGTATCTAACAATATATATTTTTTTTTATATTAAAATGTAATAATCTGTTCTTGTAAAACAAAATATGAAACGTAATTACGTAAGCTAGTACCAACCAATAATATTATAACATACACACTAAGACCACCACATACTCATAATAAAAACACATCTGATCGCGTCTTTGTGGTAGGCTATTTGTCCCTCCCCTCTTCCACTGTGATTGGACGGCTGGGTAAAAAGTGACAGTGACAGGTGCCCAGGGAGTTTACCTTGCCTAACGCTTAAGTCGGGCCCTGGTGCTCTACTCTCATGAACCAGTGTATTTCACCAGTGTTTGGCAAGTCACGACTCGGGTGTGTGACACAACTATTGCTCAGGACCAAAGAGCTACAGTGTTGAGAGTGAAGTTGTTTGTTTGAGCGGTTCTCGAGAAACACCACAGGCCAAGAGAGGATGTGTGGTAATGGACTGGCAAGTAATGTTATGGATTCATCCTGACATTTTTAATTCTGCATTTTTCATGCAGTAATTTTACAACATAAATAAAAGGCACATTTGAGTGACTAAACAAAGCAGTACTTTTCATTTATGACTCACGTTCACATGTTGGAAGTCCAGGTAACCACTGACCGTCTACTCCACATGTTAGGGTGCGCTCTCCTTTCATAGTATACCCAGATACGCACCTATAAGTCACCGTAGACATGTATTTGTGAGGAGGCCGAGAACCCCCATCCCAGGCAGCATTTTTTATATCGGGATCTTTGCACTGAACCGCTGCAGGCAAAGAACAAATTAAATAAACATTAATATAATTGCCCAAAACAACCTTCTCCACAGTATGTGAGTCCATCTGTCACAGCTGAATTTACACTGTGGAAAATGTTGAGAAAGGGTTGGGGGGAATGTTTTAACACCTCATAGATACACTTAGTCATTCTCAAGTCAAGAAGGAATTAAAAAA